TAAAATGCTGATGCCCCTAAATTCCTCTTAGAACATGAAGATGTGACAGAGTGGGAGCTGCTGTCTCTAGCTAGACTTCAGCTATATGATATAGAATCTGGCCTGGAAATGAGGGATGCCATGGTTGTAGGCAGGACAAGAGCAAGAACAGGCTGTAGACTGAGGGTCTGCAGATGTGAGGGCACAGAAAGGCAGGCCCTAGAGCCAAGGGTAACAGAAAAGGGGGAAATGAGATTTGCAGGTGGAGTGCAACATTACTGTTAATATATTGTTTGGGGGAGTAGTGGACAGATGAGGGTAGAAATGTCTAACTGTTCAGAGCCATCTTGGCATCATTAAAACCATTTGAGTCTAAATGATCACTTATTTTCCCCATCAGAAAACAGCTCTGCATGCAAACCACGAAGAGCTTAATTTATATGGGTGTCTCCTAGAACACCCGCTCTCTTGGGAGAGCAGATCACAGGTGAGAGAGTCGCTCAGTGCAAGGAGAAGTAGAGTAAGGAGTTAGCTTTTTCTTTCAGACAGTTGTCCATGACTTGCCCCTCTCACCTTTGCAAGCTTGCTCTCCCGAAAAATGTAAACCCCTCTTTTTTTTTTTTTTTTGCATGTGATGCTCCCTCAGATTCTTCATTTCTCTGGCTGTCCCAAGGGTCAGGGGATCAGTATCTAAATACAGTGCATTCTCTTCATTAGAACCTCTGAGCGTTTGGAAATAGATAACGCTTTGATGTGCTGGGCAGGGTATCTGTTTTCATTGGAATGATCAGGATTGACATCTGACTACAAGCCCATCTTTACCCTAAGCACTGGGGAGGTGAGAATTGAGCTTGTGGCTTCAAATAAGTCTTGAGGTCCTCTGGTGTACTGCATCACTGTGTGTTTCTGGTCCCCCTTCTTCTCTAATTTTCACAGTCACGTAGTTCTATATCTCCAGTGGCATGCACGTTTGTAAATCGCACAGAATCATTTAGTATCAGCTTGTGCGTTTGGCCATGTGTTGCTAGCTATCCAGACAACAGATGCATACAGATAGCCACACCTTGCAATACATTTTTTCAAGGACACTACACTACCACATTCAAGATGAATTGCTTTGGGAAACTCCTCTGTACAGATCATGTTGTGGCTACTTAAAGATATCAGTCAGGGAGTCTAACTGCTCCTCTTTTGAGTGCTTTGTTCTGTATTTGATCTTTCTTCGTACTAATCCTTTGGCCTTGGTTAGATTAATGATCAGTTCTTTAGCCTCTAGCTGCTTTATATTTCTTTCTCCTCCTTGCTCTTCAAATCGAGCTATTTAAACGATTTTATTTAACTGCTGGTAAGGTGCCACTGAGACACGGAAAACAAATATGTGAGGTCATTACCTAGGATATTGAAAACAAATTTTGTATTTATATTATCTAAGATGTTAATAAACCATTATTGTTAGGGTGCAGTGTAAAAATACTATGATATAACGGAAAATTCTCCGCATTGAACTCAAGAAACATGTCTCTGTCACTCATAGCCTAGGAAGTCTCTTAATTTATATTTCTCAATTTTCATCTTAAATATGACAGGGATGTTTAATCTCAAAGGGTCTTTTTGAAAGTAAACAGTGCTATACTCCATGGGAAACACATTCATGCTTTATCAAATGACATTTTTCATATAATCTGTTTTTTTTTTGATTGTGAGGAAGCAGTATCTTTTTCACGATTAAAAGTTATTGCGGAGGACATTTTCTGGGTAAGATTTCCAAGTGTTGCCTTACATAGCTAGTACTCTGAGGATAAATGACATTTTTATCTCTATATCGCCATGTTAACAATCCCTTTTGGTATCTCTTCCTCACATAGACAGTGTGTGCTCATTTGTAATTTTTAGTCTGTGCACCGAGGATGTTAGAATATTTACTTTGTTTTGGAATTTATCATGCACAAGTGGGAAGAATGACATTATTTTCTGGAAACTGACTGACAAGGGATTGGTATTGAAATCACCTTGGAGTAGCCACTTCTCAGAAGATGTTAATGCCCTCTAGCTAAGCCCTAGGAAATTTTATTTAAATAAATAAAAATGTTACAGAAAATTCAGATCTAGAACTGGAAGGAGGCTTAGAATGGCTTGTGTTTATCCTTTCACCCTAACCAATGAAGAAAGATTTCTTCATAGATGCTCAATTCTTTCTAGAGTGAGGAAAGGAATAACAAAAAAATAGATGTACAGCTTTTACTGAAACTTAGGGACCATTCTAAATGATTTTTCTCATATAGTTCCTTTCTTGGTCTCTTGAAAACATGCAAGGTAGTTTGGTTGGTAGTTCGGCTGTCCCTAACATGATAAAGCAAGGGTCCTGCCTCCTATATTTTGTGTTCTGTTTTTGAGTTTCAAGGGACAGATACCAGGACCTTGCACCTGCTTGGCAAGCGCTGTTTTACTAGGCTACACCACTATCAGGTTTTGCTCTTCACTAGTCCTTATATGCTGAACATGCTTGCCCTGTACAGCCTTTAAGATATTGAACTTGAGGCTTGGCTATAAAAACTGTTGTGGTTATTCATCATTTATTGTTAATTCTGAAGTAAGCTTAGCTACTATGTCTGTGGAGAGAATCACATGAAGATTGAGTGAAGGCCATCATCCAACACTGAGACAATGTTAGCTCTCCTTTAAGTACGTACTGCTGCCTTAGCTCAGGTTTGAGATGACTGCCACCTGTCACCTTGACTGTGACATCATGGTAGCTCCTCAGAATCATCCAACTAAGTAGCTAATGCATTCTTGAACTTCAGAAACTGTGATGTAACAAATGTTAATTGTTCCTTTTACAACTTTATTGAAATATGATTGACAATATAAATTGCATTCATTCAGCTGTACAATGTAAAACTTTGATACACTTATCTCAGACATTTTGAAATGTTTATACAGTTGAGAAAGTAATACACATGATGGTTTGAATGACAATAATGTCCCTCATAGGCTCATGTATTGGAACACTTGGTCTCCAGCTGATGGAACTGTTTAGAAAGGATTGGGAAGAGTGTCTTTTGGGGAGGAAGTATGTCACAGGAGGCAAGCCTTAAGAGTTTAAAGATTCCCACCATTTCCAGTTGCTCTCTATCTTGGTCAAAATGTAAATTCCAAGCCGGGCGATGGTGGTGCATGCCTTTAATCCCAGCACTAGGGAGGCAGAGGCAGGTGGATCTCTGTGAGTTCGAGACCAGCCTGGTCTACAGAGTTAGTTCCAGGACAGGCTCCAAAACCACAGAGAAACCCTGTCTCGAAAAACCAAAAAAAAAAAAAAAAAAGATATGAATTCCAGCATCCTGCTCCAGCCCATATGCCTATTTGTTGCCTTCTCTTTGCCTTTATGAACTTTAACTCTCTGCAACTGCAAGACAAAATAATGTTTCTTTTGTAAGTTGCCTTGGTCATGGTGTTTCATTACAGCAACAGAAAAGTAATTAAGTCAATGTATTTGCCTCGGAGTTTTGTTTTAAAGAAATGATTGCTTTAGTTAGTATATACAATAATCTGCTTCTTTATGACGTTTTATATATGTGTATCATTTACCCTGATTTAGTATTGTGTATTCATGAGTGTATTGGCTTAATAGATACATAGATTTGTCATACAAGAGAAAACATGCAACATTTTTTCTTCTGAGTTTCTTGTACTTAATATAATGATCTTCAGTTCCATTTTCCTACAAATGACATATTTTTCTTCTTTATAGCTGACCAGAATTCTGTTGTGAATGTGTATGGGCTACATTGTTTTATCAGTTCATGCTAATAGACATCTAAGCTGCTCCTTTGTTTTGGCTGTTGTAAACAGAGATGCAGTGAACACATCTGTACTGGCATTTCTGTGTACACTGGTTTTGGTCCCTTTGGTTAGATGTCCAAGCATGGTTAGCTGGATCACGTGTTAGCTCTAATTTTGCTTTCTTTGAGGAGCTCTTCATTTGGTGTAGTGAAACCACTGAAGAGCTGTACTCTTTGAAAATGTCAAGTTTCTGACTCATTATTGTCTCATGGCCTTCACACTGTGCACTATGCCTCTAGAACTTATTCTTTTCATGATTGGAAATGTATTCTATTACATCAATATCTCCCCATTTTCTCCACCTTTAATTTGTGGTAACTACCTACTACTGTCTCTTTCTTTAAGCTGAACAACTTATAGTTTCCAGATATAATTGAGACCTATGTGTTTCTGATTTATTTTTGCTTGGTTTACTTTCTTCCTATGTGTTTCTGATTTGGTTTTCCTTGGTTTATTGTCTTCCAGGTTCATCTACATTCTAATAAGCAGTGCTGACTTATTGTTCTTTTAAGCCATATGTTATTGGAAGTTTGTTATGCAACAATAAGTAATAAACACAAATTTTGTAACTGAGGTGCTATCCTAAGAAGAAATGTTTCTAAAATATCAGAGTGGCTGTGCAACTTGGGAGAACACAAATATTCAGAAAACTTGAAGTTGGTGAAGGAAAAGTTCCTTAAAGACATGGCTGTCAGCAGCTTGGTGCTTCCTAAGAAATATCTGGCAAGGAAGAAATCCTATGGGGAATGGTTTTGCAGCAAGAGATAGCTAGCACAAGTAGTCACCTTTCTCCTTGGAGTAGTTAATGTGGATGCATTGAAGTTACGAAACAGATTGCTGGCATGCACCCTTTTATATAGTTTCTAATTCTAATTCATACTACCTGAATGGCATTCTGTAGTTGTGTAAATACTGTTAAAATCAAGCTAGAAGTCACTGGCTAATAGTCATACAGGCAGAAATGAATGTAGTTTTTTTATGGACTTAATGGTATAAAATACTAGTTGAAATAATTTATATCTAAACTTATAGGCTTTATGGAGAAAAAGGTTGAATTTTAATTTGTATGTCTTTACAAATTTCATATTGAGGTTATTAGATCCAGTACTGTACTGAGGTCAAGCAGCTGTAGTATAATAACACTGTTCTACTTTTCTGTGTTAAACTTGACAACTGCTCAGAGGTGACCCTGACTGAGGCTTCTGAAGATGAGTGTGAATACGAGGAGGTAATTACTCTTGTGAACGCTTTCTCCTATTTCCTGGGGCACATAAGGGCTTTATTTAAGATAAGATATGTTTTAAGCAGAAGTTTAACTATTTACTGATTACAATGGAGTTGAGAAAATGCTCTTTCAACATCTACATTGAGTGGGAGATCTTCCTGTTCCAGTTGCCCCATCTCTGTTTGGGTTCAACTCTGGCCACCTCCCTTGTTTGTGGTTTCATAGGTGGTCATTTCTATCTGGGACTTTTCCCCATCATCCAGTGTAGTAAGAGGAGCGATGGGCTGCGTTCCTGCCCAGCTCCTGCATGGCTAGCTTTATACGCGAAATAACAACACACAAATTGTATTCATTTAAACACTGCCTGGCCCATTAGTTATAACCTCTTATTGGCTGGCTCTTACATATTGATCTAACCCATTTCTAATATCCGTATTGCCACTTGAGTGTGGTTGACTGGGACGAGTCTAACAGGCATCCATCTTGGAGCCGAGAGTCATGGTGACTGACTGACTTGGCTTCTTTCTCCCAGCATTCTGTCTGTCTACTCTGCCTACCTAATTTTCTGTCCTATTAAAGGGACAAAGCAGTTTCTTTATTTAACCAATGAAATTAACACGAAAAGAAGACTCTTCCTCATCATTTCCCCTTTTTCTGTTTAAACAAAAAAGAAAGGCTTTCATTTTAACATAGTAAGATTACATATAACAAAACAGTTATCAAACAAGAATTACAGTTTCAATATTTATATCTATTTATCCTTTATCATAACTAAGGAAAACTATAACTATAACTAACTATTCTTTAACTCCATTAAAGAGTTCAGAAGGATATAATATTACCAAAGCAAACAAGAGGTAAGCAACTTCCAAAACTCTAGAAATGACAGAGACATCTCGCTGCCTGGACAGTCACCCAAAGTTCTTTTGTACCGTTGGGGCATCAATCTTTGGCCTACAGGCCACTAGTATCCAGCAGACTTTTTCATGAAGTAGGAAATTTTAAAGACAGTATTTTCTGCTGTGTTCTGCAGAATGTCTTGCGGGCTCTTTCATGAATCAAGAACCCCGAAAGACCATCTCACCTTTAGGCAAGTTCAGCAGTCCTCTCTCTGTGGGTTCTTTGTGTCCAGTTTATGCAACAGTCCAGGCAAGAACAGTTTCTTGCTCAAATGGCTATCCAACTCCATAAGGAGACTCTTCGATGCCCATCTTCCTTTTGAAGTAGATTGGTGTTGCCAGGAGCAGACATGTCTCCTTGTCATGAAAAGTCCTAAGTTATTAAAACATTAAATGCCATGTTCTGTAGTCTTTGAAAGATATGAAGAATGTCTATCTAACTGAAATATATTTCTATATATCTAGAAAATCTAACTAACATGACTACAAATTTGACTATTATAGATGTTTATCCATTAACAACCTATATACATTACATTTTTAAATGAACTACACAACCACAACACCTTAATCAAGATCAGAAATGTGCATATACATATAACAAAACTGACCTTAACTTAATACCAATAAAGCAAAGTTTATATCAATGTAAATTATTCATATCTATATCATATCTCCCTTTAAATGTAAAAGAACATTTATAAACAACATTTGGGAACATGGGTGCAGTTTTTTTCTCCAAATTGCTTTTTGCTGAATGGAGGTGCTGTTAATCAGATCGTTTAGGGTGTAACCTGTGTGCCAGGTTTATCTCAGTCGGCAGTTGAGCGAAGTAATTTTTTGAGGGTGTTTACAGCAACCTTTTACGAGGGCGTGGTCTATCATACCATATTGGGATAGAAGTAATCCACAGGGTCTCATACTCTGTGAAAACAAAAGAAGACCCTCTCCAAAGCATCATATCCTTAGACCCAAATTTTGAAATCATAATACCCTTATATCCATTTTGGTTAAGCTTGGCAGCCCATATAATGAAATGTCTCTCTGTACTTAGCTCCTTCACAGTCAAAAGATTTAAAGAAAACACAATAATACAAAGAATCCAGACTCCATTTTTACGTGGCTTATTTTTTTTTATTTTTTTAATCTATAACTATCTGTACTCTGTCTCTTTAAAGACTTTACCCTTTTTTTAAACCATTAACTTTATTTTTTATCTATTTTTTCTCTCTTTTAAGCCTACGTATATTTATCCAACAGTGTGATCCATTATAGGTCTTTTATGTTTGAAATCTGTTTTATTGTGAATCTGTAATTTTTTTTCTATCCAGGAGCACTTTGTTTTGTGCCTTTAAATCATTAAGAATCTAAGCTGTGACATTTCTAGGTCAAAAACAGGTACTGCCAGCTTGCTCCACCCAGTCCAACATGGCGGAGCCACTTGTGACTGAATCAGTTGAGCCTCTGAGCTGTAGGGCAGAGGGCTGCTCTGGATGTTGGCTCCACTTCTCTCAATTTTAAAATGGAGGACGTACCATTTTCTACTAGCTCTGGGGCCGCCAGGTAGGAGCCACACTCAGCACTTTAACTCTGAGACTGAGTGTACAGCACAGAAACTCTTTTCATCCAAGTTACAGCCAAATCTGACACGCAGAGCACTGCACAGCCTGAAAACATCTCTCTGTGTGGCGGCAGGAATCCACCATGCTCTCCCGCCTGCCTAAGCCTGATTCTGTCATCTGTCCAGGTGCAGGCAGGGAGCGCTGAGCCATCATTTCAGAGCGGAGAGTCATGGCAACTGACTGACTCGTCTTCTTTCTCCCAGCATTCTGTCTGTCTACTCCGCCTACCTAATTTTCTGTCCTATTAAAGGTCCAAGGCAGTTTCTTTATTTAACCAATGAAATTAACACAAAACAAAAGACTCTCCCCCATCAATCCAGTTTGTTCTTGACAGGGATTTTCAGGTTGCCAGCATCAGTTGAAGCATAGTCCACTGTTTCTTTCTACTTTAATTGTAGTTCTGTAAACCATGCTCCTGTCTCAACATTTTCTTTTAATTCATTGCTTCTGAGACTTGGATATGAAGTCACATTTAGATGTCAGAGCCTGAACCAACTGTGTAAGTGGGCCTGGCAGAGGCCTTGACATGCAGAGGCTTGTTAGTTAGACAGATTGAGCTCATCTCTAGAAGCACATAGTGTTCTATGTAGAGTATATTTCTTGGAAGCTTTAGTTTAGGAAGAAACCTTCTGAAATGAAATGTTGCTATGTCTCCTTATGTTTCTTTCTATAGCAGTATTAATTAAAATGATACTTTTTATTTAGTTGAATACTCTACTTCCTCAGTGCAACAGACTGTGTGAGACCTGCCCAATATTGTACCCTATTTCTGGTTTTAAATTACCCATTGTCATCTCTAGTCCAAAAATTGTTTCTGAAAATTCCATAAATTACTAGTTTTTAATGACTTTTGTCATAACTGTTATGATTGTTATGTTAGTATTGTCATCATTACTGGTCTCTTATTGTGTCTACATAAACTGCATTGTATGTTTATATGAGAACAATAGTATCTGCAAGGTTGGTAAGTAACCACATCTTCAAGCATCTGCATCATGTCTGAGAATGTATCATTGTATAAGTGGGGAGCACTGTAAGGCACTCAATATTTCAACCCATTCTTCTGGTCCTTGTCTAGATACCAGATGACAATTTCAGCATTCCAGAAGGTGAAGAAGACCTGGCAAAAGCAATTCACATAGTTCAAGAGCATGCTACAGATGTTCAGATTCTGGTGAGAATTTTGTATAATATTTTAGCTAGCAGTTTAACAGGAATTCATTTTATATGAAGCTTTGAAAGTAATTTAACTACAAATTATGAAAGAGAACACTGTAATCTGCTATACTTTTTCACTTTGTTGATTTTCATAAAACACTTAAAGTAAGCTTTATTTATTCTTTGCAGCACCATTATCCAGACAATGTCTACTCTTATATGACTTTTTAACAAATGATACCTTCCCGGAGAACTGATTAATCATATAAGAAAGTAAACTGAAATTGTTCAAAACTGTTGTTAAATGGATAAGCTAAAAATTATGTAGTGGACCTTATAAGCATTTTGTGTCTTTGTTTTCCTGGAAGTATCTAACCTACATGAAATGCTTAACAGTTAAAATTTCATGACTTTTTCTTTTCTGGAAGGTGAACTAATTTTGTTAAGAAAGCATGGAAAATAGATAATATTATTGATCTAATTTAGCTATACCTCATATTACAGTCTTTTCCAAGTCTTAAATAAATAGACAGGGATACATATATCTATGGGTATATGTATTCCTCTGTGTGTATTCTTTGGAGAAGGTAATTATATAATTTTGTAAAAAGAAAGGTTTACAATTAAGTTGAGTTTCCTTTTCTAAAGTGTGACTTTTTTTTGTAAGTATATTGTTGTAACATTTTGCTAATTTTAGATTTGGATTCTTCTTTATTTTACTACCCTTTGTACTGTTAACATCTATAATGATTTTTCAGTTTTTATAAATTAGAATTTTGATTTTTAAAGATTAAAATAAAATAAGACTTAAATTTCTGAAATTTTGCTGTTCCCTTTCTCTTTCCTTTTCCTTCTTTCCCTCCTTTTCTAAGACTTTTCATAGTAGTTCCCATATCCCTTGTGAAGTCTGACTGATGACTATGACCCCTTCCATGCTTACCAGTTCCCTGGGTAAAATGGAGATGGGACAGTTCCGCTCTTCTCACCCAGTTTTCATTCTGCGTTGGAAAGTGTATTTATTTTTATAAGATATATATGTTAGTATGTAAAAGTTTTGTTGTTGGACGGATTGGTTGTGCACACCTTTAATCCCAGCACTTGGGAGGCAGAGGCAAGTGGATCCCTTTGAATTTGAGGCCAGCCTGGCCTACAGAGTTGCAGAACAGCCAGGGCTACACAGTGAGACCCTATCTTGAACATCCTCCCCCACCAAAAAACTTTTATTGTAGTCAGTGGTGATGACATACAATGGCAGGATATGCTGAATGGAGGCAGAAAAATCATGAGTTGGAAGCCCACCTGGGATACACTATACATAACTTTCATTGTGATTATTTTAAGACATATAAGTAAATATTTCAGATTTTAATTTTTCATATGATAACTCTTGTATAACTCATATGAACAATCTCTCTGGAGCTTCTTTCATTTCCCCTCTAAAAATGTTTCAAAGTGAAAATTCTAGTTTATCTCTTATCTTTATTTTAACATTTTTAAAATTGATTCTTTGGGTATTTCACATTATGTGACCTGTTCCACCATTTTCCAGCCCTTCCTTGTCAGCCTTCCACATTGTAGCCTCCTCCCTCCCAAGAATGAAAAGCAACTATACTCTTCTGTCTTAGTGGCTTTGGAAGCTGTGTGCCACACAGGATACTCTTTCACCCAAACAGCTTCATTTGCACATGTTCATTACAATGATCCTGTAACTATGGTTCTACAGGACTGCTCCCTCCACAAGCTCTGGGAGGTCCTGGATGGGGTACATGTTGGGGTGGGCCAACTCAAAGCCCTGGGTGTGGGCCTGGGTGGTAGCTGAGTTGATCAGTTCCAGCCTCCACCAGGATCGTTCCCCTCAGGTAGGGGTCAGGGCCAACTCTTCAGTGTGTGGCATCTTCAGTTGTGGCAGCTGGTGAAGAGTGGGGGAGTTCTCCATTGAGAGTTAGGGCCGGCTTTCCCAGCAGCGGAGCCACTAACCTGCTAAGTTGACCAGCGAGGGGCAGGACCACTTCTGTGCCCAGGCCACCAGATCCAGCTGTCCTGTGGCCGCTGGCAGTAATATAGCAAGGGTATCATCATAGAACCTTGCTGCAGTTGGGCAATAGAACCACACATGGCCCTTGGCTGCAGTTCCAGCATGGACCATGGCCTCAGGTGGCAGTGCAGGCCACCCGGATTAGTTTGTCCCTGGCAGTAGCATGGCCCTTGGACATCAGTTTGGCCTCAGGTGGTGGTCCAGACCTCGGGAATCTGTATGGTCCTTGGTGCTAACAAAGGCCATGGAAGTTAACACGGACCCTGTCTCTAGTAGGATCACAAACTCAGACATGGTGCTTGGTAGCCACATAGGCCAGGAAGTCACATGGCATCAGGTGGCAGTGTAGGCTGCCATATTATCCTGTTCCTCACTGTTGCTGAATCTTCAGTCTTCAGCACGGGTTCTCTCCACAGTGCAGGAACCTTAAGACTTCTCTTCCATTGCTGCACCATACACCTGTTCATCTCAGTGGCACCCCCCAGGGTCCCCAAAGGCCTAGAGCGTGAGTGAGCCTGTATTTTTTATCTTTTTGAATCTTCAATTTCAGGCTAGTTTTTCAACTATATCTAAATCTATCTTTTTTTTTTTCAGTAGGCTTTTGGATCCAAGTGAGTAGATTATTTTTGGATAATTTAGCAATGTGTAAGCCCTCCTGAGGGCTGAGCATGCATGCACACACTTCTTAGCACCTTCATGTGCATTTTTAGAAACTATAGGTAATGTCCTCCCTTTAGTATGCTTTTCTATTCTTCCTGCTGCTTTTCTAATTCATTCTCTCATACATATTATGTAAAAACAACATTTCACATTTATTGAACAAAAAGAATGAAGCATTTACATAATGAATGGTTATTTTCAGAAATAATATTGAGTCTTTACCTAGCAATTATACAGTCTTTCTTTTCTAGTAAATACTATACCACAATGACACAACCCCATTTCTGCATCTCCAATGATATTAATTATGGAGGGTCAGATATTGTTACATAATGTTTAAAAATAGTTTTAGGAATGATAGTCCAAGTTACTGGTTTCTACCATAATCATTTGAACTGTATATTTATAACAATTTGTTTTAAATTGATTTATTTTTAATTATGTGTGTGTGTCTGTGTGGGTATGTGCACATGAGGGCAGGTACCTGCAGATGCCAGAAGAAGGCATGGGTCCTTTGGAGGTGGAGTTACAGGTGGTTGTGAGCCACCCCACATGGTACTGGGAATTGAACTTGGGTTTTCTGGTAGAGTAGTGAGTACTCCTTCAACTATTTCTGTAGCCCTGACAGATTTTTTTTTGTGGGTTTCAAATTTTACCTCAATTTTCCATTTTTTTCTATTTTAATTCACTCTTTTCTTTTACATAGCTATCCCCATTTCCACTCCCTCCCCTCCTCTTGTTCCTTCCACACCACCACTCCCTTATCCACTCCTAAGAAAGGGTAAGACTTGCCATGGGAAGTCAACAAAGTCTGATACTTCACTTTGGAGGCAAGACCAAGGCGCTCTTTCCATATCTAGGCTGAGCAAGGTATCCCTTCAAAAAGAATGTGCTCCTAGATGCTATTTCAAGCACTATGGATAAATCATGGTCCCAACTTTCCATTTTTAATTTCTTAAAAATATCAAAGCAACTAGGAAGACTAAGCATCTTTGTTCAGTTTTGCACAGGACTTTTGGAAGGGACTATTTGGAACTATGACGATTCTTTTACCCTGGATGCAGTTCTTGGTAAACATTCTGTACTTTTTATGTAACGTTTCCAGTTGAGGAAAAAAAGTAGGGAATAAATCTACTACTGCGTTTTTGTAGGCCTTCTTTCCCAATAGTCGGAAAATAAGCGAATAATTTCTGATTAATGACGTGAAAACCAGTGATGCATTTACCGTGTTAGGTTTCCGGTAGCTGTGACAAACCACTTGAGCAAACTGCTTCAGTGGGAAATCTTCCTTTTGCTTAGAATTGTAGAGGTGCCAGCCTAACATGGAAGGGAAGGCATGGTGAAGAAGCTCACTTTATGGTGGGGAGGAAGCAGAGTGGAGCCATAGTTGCAAGGGACCAGGCCAAGATAAATCTCTCCAGATACTGTTTCTAGTGACCTCTGGCCTCAGTTCAGGTCCTGGTACTTCCAGGGTTCCCCCTCCTCTCAACAACTAGTTATGGCTTTATTCCATAAATGAGTCAAACTTTTATCAGGCCAGAGACCTCATGAGCCTACTTTCTCTGAAAACACCCTGACAAATATAGCCGAAAGTGTGCTTTGGTATCTCCAGACCCTTCTCATTCTAACCAAGTTGAAGATCAAAATTAATAATCACACTTCCCAGTGCAGTTTTATATTCTTTTGTTTAATTTTATTTGTTATTTTCTTAATTATATCCACATTTCTCACACAGGTATCTAAAATGTGTTCTGTGAAGATAACTAAACTTGTGGGTCTTGAACACCTTAAGTATTGGTAGCAACTGCTCAGCTGTCCCATGCGGTGTGAAAGTCATCATGGACTGCATGATGGCAAATGGCTTTGGTTACGTTCTAAGCTCCTATGGAGTTGATAGACTCATTTGCTTCCATTGCAGATTCTAGTACTGACATCCCCCATTGTTCCTCTTGTAGTATTTCTAAAACACAAGGCACCAAAATTGTAGTGCCATTTAATGATATTTGAAAGAATCAACAGTCTCTTCATTTGTTTGCCCTTTGCTCTGTTGTGTTGAAAGGGAGCTCTGGCCTCTCCATAGTCCCTCAGAGTACCTATTCTTTCTCTTGCCTCAGCACCTCTGTAATTGCTGATGAGAGTCTGACTTTGATATTGGATTGTGTTCATATACGTTTTAATCCAGTGCTAATCCCAGTTCAGAAGGACACTGTCCTGACTGGTGAAGTCTTGAAAGCTCAAATCCCTAAAACCACAATTTCTGTAGGAAAAAAGACTGCATAAGAGGGATGGAGAGCTAAATTCTGAGCGTGGAATTAATGAATTTCTAGTTTTTTTAAAAAAGATATTGGCTGTCTTACTGTTTCTCTTGCTGTGATAAAACTCTGGCAAAAAGCAAATTGAGAATATTTATTTTAGCTTACAGTTCTACATCACAGGCCATCACTGAGTGAAATCAAGGCAAGAACCTAGAGACAGGAGCTGATGCAGAGGCCGTGGAGGCCTGAAGGCTGCTTGCTGGCATCTGAAACACTAGCCTGGGGCGGCACTACCCACAGCGAGCTCCTGAGTAATGATTTTTCTAGTCCAACATCTAAATGCCGCAATTTCTGTCTTCTCACAGCCACTCCCTGTTCCAAGAGCCAATTTCTGTTTTATTTAGGGTTTCTACTTCTGTGATCAAGCTTGATGAGCAAAAGAAACTTAAGGTCGATGAGGCTTATTTTACTTACCAGCCTGTAGTCCATCATCCAGGAAAGTCAAAACAGCGACACAAGACAGGAATCTGGAGACAGGACCTAAAGAGGCCATGGAGGAGTGCTGCTTACTGTGCTGCTTACTGGCTTGCCTCTGTGCTTGATCAACCTGCTTTCTTAAATGAACTAGGACCACCTATCCAGGGGTGGTAATGCCTGCTTTGGGTTGAGCTCATTTGCAAAAATCAAGAAAATTCCCTACAGGCTTACCCATTGGCCACTCTGGTAGGGAGTTTTTCTCAGTTGGTGCTCTTTCTTCCCAGATGACCCTAGCTTGTGTCAGATTGACATAGCAACTAGCCAACACAGTTGCCCAGTGAATTAATTGTGTACTAATTTCTATCCTTTCATTCGTTACTCCATGCTTTCTTCAAAAAGTTCACCCCAGCAGAAACTGCAAGTCTGGCAGGGTTAGCAGCCTTCTGAATATAAGCTGCTTGCAGTAGTGGAAACTGAGCCAACATCACAAGGCACACAGCTGGTGAACTAACTGTCCTGTGGAGGACTTGACGGCTGAGGATCATGGACACTGCCTTACTGCAGACTGAGGAGGAACTTGTGCATGCTTTACCCTGGTTAGCAGATGGGGCCTTAAGAACTGTCACTATCTGTCAAGTTTTATTTATTGTTCTTTTTAAGTCAACTGCATGCTCCTGCTGGACTCTGAAATTCTAGACCACATCTGCTTATTTCTATGTTACAAGTGAAGCATTTTACAAATTATAATTTGTAGATTGGTGGACTTTGCAGAATAAAATGGATTCAAAATGAATCTCCAAATCTAAAGATAGATTTAAAATTAGTGCAAACTTCAGGAGGTCATCAGTGTTTGGCTTTTCCTGGTCATCCCAGCATGTTTCCAGCAATATTAGCAAGGTTGAATGGCTACATGAGATGGAACAGGAAAACTCTCATTTAAAAGTGGGTCATTTCTTTGCATTGGCTTTCCTTCCTGATCACGAAATGCTAGGTGTACCTTCCTGAAGAAGTCAGCCACATCACTGCTTGGTTTGAAAATAATCACATGGCTAGCACCACAGGAAGACACTTACACCGTGGTGTTGCTGTCCATCATTAGTCTTGTTTTTGCTGGGTATCTGGTTTGATGTGTGTGTATGCTGAACGGATTTCCACTGTCCTCTACAGCAGGGAAACATTGCTTAGGAGAAGCAAAAATGAAGTATGGGATATTCATCTTGCTACACAATGAATTTTAGAAAAAGAGAAAAGAGAGAAACGTCATACAAAAGAAGAATGTGAATGTACTCTCTGAGGACTTCTGCCCTGACGGAGAGAGAACAGATAATTATAGTGACATAAGGTCTCAGAATACAGTTAATGTTTACACATATGTAGATGCTCTGGAGGACTAAGTGTTTACAGTTGTCCACAATCTACTTTTCTTTTTTTAAATTTTGATTTATTTTTTAAATTTAATTTTACATTCTATCCACACTGCACTTCTCCCTCCCACTCCTCCTCCAATCCCCCTCACCCCACCCTCACAGCCAACCCTTCATCCACTCCTTCCATTGGGTAGGGACTCCCATGGGGAGTCAACAAAGTCTGTCACATTAAGTTTGGGCAGGGCCAAGCCCCTTCCTCTTGTATTAAGGCTGAGCATGGCCTCCCATCATAGGGAATGGGCTCCAATAAGCTAGCTCTTGCTCAAGGGAAAGATCCGGGTCCTACTATCAGGTGCCTCACAGGAAGTCCAAGCTTTACCTCTGTCTCCACACAAGAAGGATGGTAGAGGGACTGGAATGGGAGATGAGAACATGAGGGAACGGGACGGACAAAAGGAAGAGGAGACAAAAAGGAGTAGGAGAGCAATGAAAGGAATGTCTTGATAAAGAGAGCCACTATGGGGTTAGGGACAAACTTGGTGCTAGGAAAATTCCCAAGAATCCATAATAATGACCCCAGTTAAGACTCTAGCAACAGAGGAGAGGGTGCCTCCTGAACTAGCCTTTCCCTGTAATCAGATTGGTGACTACCCTGTCATTATAGAGCCCTCATTCAGTCACTGATGAAACCAGACACAGAGATCCACAACCAAGCACCAAGCCAAGCTTTGGTAAACCAATCGAATAGAGGGAGGAGGGAATATATGAGCAAGGGAGGTTTAGAGTATGATGGAGACATCTACAGAGACAGCTGAACCAAGCTCATGGAAAATCATGAACATTAGGCCAACAGCTGTGTGGCCTCCATGGGACTGAACTAGGCCTTCCGTATGTGGAATACAGTCTACTTTTCTAATAAACCTTTCTGTATCCTGAAGTTTGTACTAATCTTTTCAGAATTTTAACTATAATGATACTTTACAATTCACTCTCCAATGTATCTCATTTTTCACTCGATTTTCACTCTTGGAGGTATAAACTGTAAAGTTCTTTAGAAGGCTAATTTGTTTATGAGTTTTTGAAAAATAGAACTCTGTTAAAATGTCTTAGAACATTGGTATTTTGAATGTGAGCACTGTGTGTGTACACAGAACTCCAGAACCTCCTCAGTAAATGGAAGGATGTCTTTTGGAGGGTTTCTGTGGTCTCAGCTCTGTAGTTGATCACATGATGTGTTGGTGACTCAACTTGTCTTTTACAGATGTCTTTAAGGACTATAGGAGTTTAGAATTTGGAATTCCAGTGATTTCACTCCTCCTAGTGAGATACATCTGTGCCTTTTGTACTGGTCCTTTTTCTAATAAATATGCTTTGTCTGTTCATAATGAATACCCACACAACTGACATTATTATATCTAAAATTTCATACTTAGGAAATATACAATATTGCCTACTTTGTTGAATGAAATGAACTCTGAAATGTTTTACATTTTACTTTTCATAAATAAGTCTCTTTTTAAGAATGAAACAAGTCAATCAAATGCCTTTTTATATTTATTTATTTTTTTTTAAAAAAACAAACTTTTTTTATTATACATACTAGTCAAAGTTCCCACTCCCTCCTCTCCTCCCATTCCCTCCACATACCCTCCCACCCAACCCCCATCCAGTCCTCAGAGAGGGCAAGACACATTGCTTTGTGGAATGTCCAAGGCCCTCCCTACTATATATCTAGGCTGAGCAAGTTATCCATCCAAAGAGAATAGGTTCCCCCAAAAGCTAATAGATGCAGTAGGGATAAAAACTGGTACCATTGTCAATGGCCCCTCAGTCTGCCACACATGCAAAATATTACCATAGAACCTTCATCTACCAACAGACCTGCACCGGAGCCCTGGACTGAGCTCCCAGAGTTCAGTGGAAAGAATGTGAATATGAGCAAGGGGGTCAAGACCATGATGTGTTCACCCACTGAAATAGTTTACCTGTGCTAATGGGAGCTCACCAACACCAGCCAGACAGGGAGAAAGCATAGGACCAAACTAGTCCCTCAAATGTGTTTTAAACTTAAAAAAGAACTTTTTTGACAGAATTTTGTTTTGAGATTTTGATTTTGATCCTCTGAGAACTTGGAGTAAGGCTTTTGATCTTTCATCATTTCAGTATTTGGGCTAACATCTTTGTGATTATGGCCCAGATCTACTCTTCAGTGAAGTCTTCCTCTGTGACAGTTCTTGCACAGTACACTACTTTACACACACATTAACCACAGACTGGCATTTGCCTGTCTTTGAGAGTCTGTCCTTACTTTCCCAGATACTTACTGTTTGTCAGAGTGTGTGGAATATGCACACACAGCTGGTTATCCATATCATGTTTCTACCTACTAAACTATTGCATTGGGAATAGAAATGTTTGTGTCACTAATGTTTTATTCCCAGTTTTTAGGACAATACACAATATTTAAGGAAAAAGTTACTACATAATGAGTAAGTGAACAGCTACCTGTTCCCTTAATAAAAACCTGGACATTTGCATAATGAATAATTGTGGATTTAAATTTTAGGAGCAGAAAACAGTTCTTCCTTCAAGACACGTAGTACATGAAGCCATAGAAGATTTTCTCTGTAATTTCCTGATAAAAATGGAAATGACCAGAACTCTGGACTGCTTTCAGGCCGAATGGTAAGCCCTTATGTGGAGAGGTAGTTCTTCAGGGATGTCAGCAGATTTACAGGTGGAAGGTTAGCTTCTTAAAGGACTTTGCAGCAATAAGCACTTTGGTTTCTTTTATTGTTGCTATGATAAACAACAATGGCAACTTAGGGAAGAAAATGTTTATCTGTGGGCCAGTTCAAGTTATGTGAGGTCATTTACAGTCATTACGGTGGGGTCACACTGTTCCAGTAGTCAGGAAGCAGAGGCCATTGAATGCTTGGTCGTGGTCAGCTCACTTTCTCCATTGGATACTGTGCAGGGTCCCTCACCCAAGTCACGGTCCTGTCCATCATTAGGAGGGATCTTCCCATACCAACTACCAAAACCACAAAGGATTCAGAGGTCACCCTTCTGGTGACCGCAGATTCTGGCAGTTTACAGCAGCAGAACCAGCAGCAGAGTGAACTTACATGTGTGGGATAAATCGTTCCCGTCTCTGCGGAAACCATCACAGTCAGGGCAGCTTTCTTGGTAAAGCTTTGTTCCGCAGCCTTTTCAACATTCAAACTTTGCTTCCTTTCAAGTGATCAAGGTAACGCAATGTTTTCTGGAGTTATACAGCAAAAAGCTATTTTGGAAATAGTTTTCTCTTAGTTTTGCTTAATTTATAATGGTATCATTTTGTTTCTTTACATCATTCCTAACACTACTTACCTTTTATTTATAATAAAGATTATTTTTCTCTATTTATACAGCTGATTGATTTTTCTAATAATATTATTTGATTTGGAACTAAATTGAATTGTATTTTCATATATTACCTTAATATGATTTTCTTGTTAGAAAAAAATTTATAATGTCTTATTGATTGTGAAAACCAGCAGGCATGCTATCTTTTCTTTTGCTATAACAATAATCATCTTTGGATTCCTAATATTTTTTAAAAATAGTAAATGATAGATTTGAAGCAAGTGTTATTTTTTTTACTAGATATTGCATATTATAAAGAGTGGACTTCTATACAAAAGATGTTTATGGAGTTTTGTAACTGAATTCTAATTTTTAAAAATTTGTCTATGATGTAAGATTTACTTTTCGCTTTCTTGGTCCACTTATAATATACACCTAGAACTAATCAATTTCATTTATTTATTTTTAATTTTGAAAATAATATTGGCATTGTATTGACACACCTCTCTACTCCCAACTCCCCTACTTCATCCCAATTTCTTTTCAAACTTCATTATTTTGACTGCACATGTGCAGTTATGAGGAGAACTGAGGTCTTTTCCCAGCAGACTAAAAGATGGAGCGTTTGGAAATAAAAGGAGAATGCTGCTTTTAAACCTGGAAACTGTGCACAATTTAAAAAGAAATTTTGTACAAATTTTCCTAAAGAAATAATTGCAAATAAATTAGAAATGCAGGTAGGTGATTAATATGTAGCTAATTAGATGAAAAATTAGTATGATTTAATTATTTTTTATGTCTTTCAAGAACATGTTAGACTATTACAAAGTATAATGACTCTCTTAAGGGAATTATGATCCAAATATTATTTAGATTAAGTCAAACTCTTTTTTGTCATTATTGTGTGTGTATGTGTGCATGTGTTAGTTTGTGCACATGTGTCGCCATGGCACATGTATAGAGGGGACAGTTGGAGTCAGCATTCCCATAAGTGTAGGTGGTTCTGGGGATTGAACTCAGATAACCAGGTGTGTGCGGTAGGCAGATCTACCCTTTGAACCACTTTTCCATGCCCCAAATATATTCTTAAAAAGTAGATGATTGTAATCATACTGTATAAGGTAGCAGCCTGATTCATGAGACAAAATTTCAGGAAACTATGATACTATTAGGATATAAGGAGTTCCCAAGAAACATACTTATTTAGCATTATATTGTAAACAAAAGCTAAAACTTATGAATATGTATTTATTAATTTAGTAATATTTTGGTTCACCCATTTTTTATCCCAGTCTGTAGCTGCTGCTTTGTACTTATTCCCATATCTGGGTAATTATTTTCACTTGAATAGTTTGAATTTGGTCAGTAACTGTAAGCTATGCTGCATACAGTAGGGTTCTAATTCAAGACTAGTAGACACATTAGTTTAAATTAATGTATGACAAACGGCTTGCTTTGCAGCTCATGCTGGCCGGCCATGGAGCTTTTCCTGTTAGCCTCCAATTACTCATGATTCAGCCAACCATGTTGACTGAATGTCCTTTTAATGCAGAAAGGCAAATCCCAAACCATATGAAATTGCTGCAAATTCATGTTCTCCAACAAAAGTACAAAAGCCCAAAAGTACTGGCTTCTTGTTTGGTTGTGCTAAAAAAAAAAAAAAAAAGGTACCAGCATAATCTGGGCAGGAATATTTCACTTATGTTCTTCGAGTCTTCAAACAATAAATGCAGAATATCTTTTAAATCCAGTGTCACAAATGTATGACCTGGGAGCCACATCTGGCCTACTTCTTGTTTGTGAATAAAATTTCATTGGAATAAAGCCATGATTTTTCCTAGGTACTGAAAATGAATATCTTATGAAAGCCAAATTAATTAGGCACACCAGAGTGTCTGGGGATGGCAGAACAGAAAGCAGTTTTACAAGTTCTAAATTATTAGTACTTTAGAGTTGCCAACAACAGCCATCAACTTATCTGCTATGATTTGTCTATGCATAGTATATATTTAATATAGCTATATGTGTGTGTGTATTTATAGACTTATGCCGGTGTGGTAGAGATTTGCTTGTGGAGTACTACCCTGCTTCCACTCTGGTTGTTTGATGCTGTTTTGTCTCCTTTAGATGTACTCACGTGTAAAGTTAATTGACGCTGTGAAACTAACGAGGGTAAAATGAGAAAAGAGCAGTGTACCTTTGTGATCCCTGAACTTCCGTCTCTGCAAACATGTCCTGTCCCGCACACTGCGTCTGTCTCACGGACTCAGTCACTTGTGTTGTCCTCACCATGGCTAGCTCGAAGTGCAGTCTTCTTTCTTTCCTTCCTACTTCCTTTTCAATCTGGGTACACCTCAGTTTGCCTCTGTTCCTCCCATTTCCCTGAAGATAGGGTTGTGCAAAAATCCTGTCAAGGGTAATAAGACATGAAATTATTTAAAGCATTTAATTATTAACTTAATTTGTTCCCAGTTAAAGAAATTATAAATTAGTGTGCATTTCTTAAATTTATGAACAAAAATAAATACTGCAGCTTTTGGCCAATACAGTTTGGTGTACTGTAATGACTTAGTTATGGTCTATATAGCTACAACTTATTTCACCAGACTAGCTTTATTGAAAGTCAAAGCTCAGAATTTAAATTAACTTTGGGCCTGGCGGTGGTGGCGCACGCCTTTAATCCCAGCACTCGGGAGGCAGAGGCAGGAGGATCTCTGTGAGTTCGAGGCCAGCCTTGTCTAGAAGAGCTAGTTCCAGGACAGGAACCAAAAAAGTACAGAGAAACCCTGTCTCGAAAATCAAAAAAAAAATTAACTTTGAAACAGTTCTCACATTTTTCAGCATGTGTAGAAAGTGTGTACAGTGTGACTACATACACATGTGACGACATACCGACTCTCCCTGAACCCCATGCAGATAGTTTTTCCTTCACCATTTAAACCTACTGATGCTTCTTCCATTGATGAGGAGTTGGCTTCTGGTTATGTGTCATGTAAGCAATATCTCCCTGTCACCATCGAATTAAACACAGGAATGCCATGCATTTACTGTGATCACTCTTACAGTTCACAGTTTGCCAAATTTGAGCAATTAAATATATGTGGGTAGGATTATGTACTAAGATTTGCAGAAGTCAGCCTTCTAGGGGAATATTTAGCTTAAAAATTAGTACAAATAATAAATATACTATTTAATTGTAAATGGCATAAAATAGTTAAAATGGTGATGTCTTAGAGTAATTGTTTGAGAATTCACTTTGTATCATTTTTATTAGCAGTCTGTTCTTATTCAGCATTCATTTCTCCCAACAACTGTATGTGGCAGGTAGCCACTAACATCTCTTCATTTCATGGATGAGGAAATGGGCTTAGAGAGGATGAGAAATCTGCCTCAGTAAATGTCACCAAGTCACAGCCAGTAAGTGGCAAAGTCAGCGAAGCCAGACTGATCTTAAACCCCACTCTCTTAACTTCAGCTCCTGGTTTGTGACTGGGTGAGCTTACCATGGGTCTTGATTTCAAGCTCAGATTTGTGTCTGTTCTCCGTTTTGCAATTACAAGGTCAGCACTAACTTCTTCAACTTGGCATAGGTTGTGTCTTCCTCAGTCACTGCCTTTTTATCTTCCTGAGAAAATAGGAGCTCCACACCTCCCATCCCCCTTTTTCCCACCTGCTGGTCCTTCATCTGGCCTTCTGTCTCTCCTGCCAGCACACTGAAGCACACAGGCCGTCCTCTGGAGCCCACTCCCTCTTCCTGCCAGAATCCAGATCCTGCCGGCTCATGGTCACTGCGTTTTCATTTGTCATCCCCTGTCTTGGCTTTTCCCTGTTGGATTGTGGCCAGAAGCACACAGGTGTGCAGTTGTATCTGACATAGTACCTGGGGAGAGCTCCCTGGCTCTGCTGCCTGTTGAAGATCATCTTCATTTTCCATTCTCTCCCTCACTGGGAGGTTTTCCTAGCAAAGGTGGCTGTTCCTTCCTTACTCACTATTCTTACCCACTCTGGATTGAGTTTCATCCATTGAACTGCTGAAACATTTTACAGTGACTTTCATGTTGCCACTTCCAGTGACTGGTCCAAACTTTGGTGAGCATTCATTTTTTTCCATTAGCATTCATTTCTTCTGTCTTGGAACTTTTTCTTCACTTGACCCCTTGGCCATGACTCATAGCTGCCATTACTGTTCTGTCCTTAGATTCTTATGATAGCATTTGCCTCCTCCACCTCATTCCATCCTTGAAGCAATGGAGTATTTTATGAATCAGTCCCAGGCATCTTTTATGTGACATCACTACCTGACCTAGTCTGTTCTAGTGTCATGATTGTAAAACATCATTTATATACTGATGAAATGCAAGTTTAAGTCGCCTGCTTTGCCTGTTCCCTGAACTATGTATATCCATCATTTATCTTTACACGACTGTCTGCTAGGCACACTACATTTGGTTATCTCTCCAGTTCCTACTGTCTTTATTTCCACTATATAAATGGCTGTCTATTACTTAGCACCAAACCTGGATGCCATCACTGCCCTGCGTCTTTGCTAATACCTGACAGATGATTCCTCAGTGATTGCTGTTAGCGCTGCCTTTGCAGCATGTCCAGAAGGTTCCCTCTTATAACCTCTGCTTATTTCACTTTGTTTCCATTTCTTGGAATAGATTTGCCCTTTTGAAACCTAAATCTGATCACTGTTTTTTACCTTCCCAAACGTTCCTATGGTCCCATCCTGATCCAGAGTGAAATATTTCCTTTGATGATGGCTCCTTGTTTTGGCTCTGACTTTTCTCAACATCTCCTTTGCTCACTTTGCTGGCTTCAGTTCCTGCTGTTCTAGGAATACTGCCTTTGTTTCTTGTCCATGCTGAAGATGTCTCTATCTCTGGGCCTTTGTTTCTTGTCCATGCTGAAAATGTCTCTATCTTTGGGCCTTTGTGTTTGCCTGCTGTCAGCCTCAAGTGTTCCTCTTCCGGGACCCCACATGGCATCATTGCTCCTGTCCTTCAAGTCTCTGCTGGAGTCTCTCTTACTCACGCTTGTTGGTCATGGCTACTTTATACAAAACAGTACAAATGCCTACCAGTCTGTCTCCTCCATTCCCTCTGCTTCCCAGAACGTATTACCATCTTTGCTAGAGTACAAATTCCTTGCTTGTAAGGACTGAGAGAGTAGTGCCATTCTTCCTAGTAACTAGATATGTGGAACATAGATGACCCATTGTATTTTAAAAGGCTAGATTAACTGACATTTTATCTTAACAATATGTTAATATTGGTTTAACTTAGAATATAGCAACTAATTCTATCAAATTTCCCAGGGCTGAGACTTTTGAATTATACATAGTCATTTTTTAAAGTCAGAAACAGATAAACCTGTTGTTTGATTTGTCCTAGGTATGAGTTAATACAGAAGGGAGAAACTGACCTCAGAGCCCTCGGAAATGTTCCAGATGTCTACAGCCAGGTGATGTTTTTAGAGAGTGAGAACAAAAACCTGAAGAAAGATTTGAAACGTGTCAAACAGGCAGCTGAGTATGTTAATATTACATTTTTCTTTTTTGGTTAGACTAAGTAAAAAATAATGAAGAATTAAACTGATACATACAATGTACTGTTTGAGAAATTTAATTCTGGATCACTGGATAATATTTGAGTTTTGGTTGTGAGGATGAGAAAGCTTCCCAAGTGAGCTAATTGAGCAGGAAACTGGAGCCTGTGCCAAGCATAGCTCACCAATGGAGTGGAATACAAGGCTTCTGTAGCAGATGGTGAATTTGTTACAAAGGCATTTTCCTATGTGTGTGATGATGTTTTGTGGGTTGTGAAATTTTCTCTTGTGTAATGAGCTAATTTCAGAAATAATAATGAAATTAATAGAAAGAGTAGAAGTAAGGATGGGACTAATGTATTCTTATTAGGATAATGTTAGTATCTTTAAATTCGTCACAAGGAATAGTGTTATCTCAGCATTTTGGGTGGGACAGGCTATGCACATACAAGGGTGGGAGGCACGTGGGACTTCTGAGGACCCTCTGATTAAGTTTTCTGTAGGCCTTAAAGCTTTCTTTAAAGATATCCTATTAACAGAGGAAGTATCAACATCCATAGTTCCACCTTTTTTTCTGTTGTCAACCACCTAATATAATTTTTTGTTTTCCCAGTGTGTATGCATAATTTTTAAATAAAAACTTCCATGATGGCAATGCCATATTTACCAACTTACTTTTCACTTGAAACAAGTATTACCTTTTTCACTTTCTTATTTTATGTACACATATCTTATTCTGAAAACTTAAAAACAATTCCAGATGGGACACCCTTGCTTTATAATGTCTAGGCACAGATGAGAATCTTAACAACTAGAAATTTTCAACTAAATGGCCCCTTCAACTAGAAGGCACAGATTTTTGGTGAACCAGCCATCATGTTTCCAACAAAAAGCTATGTGTATGTATTGGCTTGGGAAGAATCTACTCATGTCTAACAGTGCCACGTGGAAAATCAATCTTTAACTCTGCAAGAGAAGTAATGTTTTTTTTTTATCCACCCACTATTATTTGACATATTTAAGGAGAATCTTTCTCTCTTAAGCACAATAAAACAACAATTAGAGTAATAAGACCACCCTGTAGAAGCATAATATTTAAATATATACTAAAAATGACTATAAATAAACATATCTTTGTATTGTCAAGTGAAAGAAATATTTAATATAGCTCTTTCTTTAAGTACAAAAGCAGCAGTAGATGAGATGGCTTACATGCTCCTTGACTTACATCATGTGCACCTGTAGGAGTGCTTGGCATCTCCACTTTCCATGTAGAATTTGATGGTTTACAAAGATTTGTGTGATTCTCCACAAGAACACACTGCTAGAACCATCTGCACTTTGTTCATTTCAGAAGGGTTTTCCCGTCTGCATCTCTGCTTGCGATGACTTTGAATAGACAGTTTGGCCAATGGGAATTTGATGTAGACCATTTCTCATAGTGCTGCCTGGAACAGTTTCATCTCTCATCTCCTTTGAGTTATGGCTTTCATTTGCTAATTTGCTTTTGAGTAGACACAGCCACTTTAGGCAATGTGTTTTACTCCGGTAATACCAAGTAATCATTGTTGATTACAGGGTATTTATTAAATAGTATATTAAAAACTGTAATTGAAATTATGTAAGTTTTTACTCCTGCAAATTGTTGTTTTAATATTAAAAGAAGTTGTAATTAAAACACCCATCACTCAATAGAAATGTTTCTTTGTATTTGCTGAACTCTCAAGTGTGGTTTCACCCTTAATAGTTTCTGGTTGCTGCTTGACTCTGTGACTTGGTAGAACTGACAGTCTGGCAGGAAGTAAGCAGACTGCAGATTGTATCTGCTTTGCTATCCTCTCATGGAAATTTGAAGAAAAGCCTCTTGGCCCTAGGGGATGCTTGGTGCTTACAGAGTGAATCTTCAGCCTGATGTGCTTCTGTAGCACCATTTGCTGAGCAGTCCCTGTAGTCTGTTTCCACTAAAGTAGCGTCAGAAGATGAATGTGATTTGAAGTAGCATTCATATACATTTGTTTCAAAACTTAATCTTAGGAACCTATATTTTCTATGAATTTATGAGGATATTTGTGCTAAACATGAGTCTCTCTATATGGAATTTGATCAAATGCTTCCTTTTTATGATTAGAGTCTTTGTTAAGGCTGGGTAATCATAGATATAAGCTAATATTTAATAGGTGAAGAGAATCAGCTTATAGATACATCATATGATATCCTTGATCATACAGTTGGCATTTAATGATGAATTGATTAAAATTAATGGCTAGATATATCCACATGTGTACCCATAATCCAGTGCAGTGGTGGTTCTGGGGAGCCATCATGACTGCCAGACTAACTGTAGGTTCCCATAACACAAGTAAAGAAAGATCTTATGAGACTAAGGTGTAGAAAGAAGGGACATGTTTTTTGTTCTGTTTGGTACCTGTATGTCCACAAAACCATCTGTATACCCAACATGCCCTTATAATGTACACAAAATCAAAAAATACACTGTGAAAGAGGACTGCTAAGGTTTGTCTCCATGGCAACATCAATGGATTTAGAATTGCCATGAAATACACCTTTGTTTGGTCTTGAGTGTTGCCAGAATGACCAAAATGAGCACGAAAGACCTTTATTTAGTGTGGGGGACATTATCCCACAGGCTGGCATCCTAGACGGAATGAAGAGGAGAAAGTGAGCATTCATCTCTCATGCTTCCTGCCTGTGTATGCAGTGTAATGAGTGACGTCACATTCCCGCCTTTGTTCCTTTTCTGTCTTGACTCCAGTACTATACTCGCAGGTGTTTGTCACAGACATCAGAAAAGTAACCAATGGAGAACACTGGCCTGACAAGTGGAGCCATTGCTGCAATAAACCTGACCACTTGGTGTTAGTTCTTTAGAACTGGTTTGTAAGAGGAACATGAAGGTCTTTGGTGCTCTGACCCAAAGAAGGCCTAGAATATGATAAGTAGAAGTTAACGAACAGTTCTATAGGGAGCTTGAAAGACAAGAAACTCAAGAGATCCAGATAGTAGAGCAAAGCTCATGAGGTCTAGAGGCGAGCTCTGTCAGGAACTCAGTAGAGTCCATTCATTTTGCATTTTGGCAGAGAATTTGGTTGTATTACGTCTTAGTCATGGGATCTTTAGAGACTGGACTAGTAAGTAATGGGCTACTTTGTTTGAGAAGAAATATCAAGGCAGTGTAGCAATTGGACAGTGTCACAATTACTGCCAACTACTGTGGAAGGAACTACTGGAACACAATGGCACATAATTTAGTGAGTAAAGTGGTGTCAGTTTAAAGTTGAAAGAATGGTGAGTGGCCCAGCTGGGCAGTATTTTGATAATGTGACATGTGCTTGTCATTTACAAGGTTCATGCTTGAGAACTATGTCATTTAGTTATACTAAAATTTCAGTATTTTAAGGAAGTGTATGGTTTTCTGTTGGGTAGTACTCATGCCTACCCTCGACCATGGTCAGTTACTGGGGACTATCACGGCATCTACAATAATTAAAGAGGTTATCCATATCAAAGATAAATCTAGTGTTTTGCACGAGGACAAAAGGAAAGGTACCCTGAGGACAGTACTTCATCTGTCACAGTTCCAGCTTGTGGAAACACAAATTCATTTGAAACGAGAGATCCTTAATTGAGAAAGGTTCTAACAGGGTTCCCTGCTCCAAAGTGGTAACCAGTGAAAATTGTTTCCCCGGGATAGTCGGTGAAGGCATACAAAATCTGAACTGGCACTACACAGATACATCATCTACATGGTGCTGTCTTTAAGCATGAAATACACAAGAGTAAGGTGGCCACAGAGGCTTTCACCAAAGTCTCAGAAAGTCTGAGTCTCGGCAGTGTGGTAGAGGCATACTTCCTGCAAGGAGACTCTGAGAGGTCGTTAGATAAGGCTGAACAGGTGAAACCTATTTTGCAATGAAAATGCTAGGTTGGTGGAGATGCTGGAACTATTTAGTATCCATATAGAGAAGCATAGATTAGATCTGACTGTAGGTGACAGTCCTGGAGAGATGGATCCACAGAAGACCATGGGAGCCCAGACAGTTTTGTTGAGAGTCTCAGATGTGACCCAGCTCCTGCACGGCTAGCTTCCTGCCTGAAATAATAACACACAAATTGTATTCTTTTAAACACTGCTTGGCCCATTAGCTCTAGCCTCTTACTGGCTAACTCACATCTTGATTAACCCATTTCTAATGAGTGTAGCACCACAAGGTGGTGGTTACCGGGAATATTCTTAACCTGCATCCATCTCGGAGAGGAGAGCTATGGCGACTGCCTCACTTCCCTTCTTCCCAGCATTCTGTTCAGTCTACTCTGCCTATCTAAATTCTGCCCTATCAGGTCAAGCAGTTTCTTTATTAACCAATGAAAATATGACCCTTCTCCATCAGCAAAGGCTCCACCTGCAAAACTGGAGAAATAATCAACACCTGCACCTATAGCTACCCCAAACCCAAATGAGTAGATGGCAGTTAAAGAATACAGTCAACAACATAAAGAACAATATGGCACCATTACAATATAGTGGTTTTAAAACAGCAAGTCCTGAGCATCCCAATGCAGGTGACACAGAAGAAAATGACCTTAAAAATAACTTTATGAAGAAAATAGACGCCCTTAATGAGGAAATAAAAAATTCTCTTAAAAAATTCTCTTAAAGAAATTGACAAAAAGACAAACAAAACATTGGAAGAAGTCAATAAATCCCTTAAAGAAAACCAAGAAAGCCAAGAAAAAAATAATCAAACAGATGAAGGAAACAATTCAAGTCTTAAAAATTGAAATAGAGGCAATAAAGAACACAAACCGAGGGAATTCCGGAAAAGGAAAATCTGGGTAAACGAACAGGGACTACAAGCATAACCAACAGAATGCATGAGATAGAAGAGAGACTCTCAGGCATTGAAGATACAGTAGAGGAAATAGGTTCATTTGTCAACTAAAATGTTTAATCCAACAATGTCTT